CGATAGTTTTTAAAATTGGCTCCCAAGCTAGTTGTTCTGTATTTTAAATAGTACAAAATTTTTACACGTGGTTAAAAAAAAGGGAGACATGATTTTTATTAGAAATTATATTATGACAAAAAGAGACAAAAAAATTTATAATTAAATTAAAAGATATTGTCCTTTGTACTTTTCCTAAGCTGGAATTTCCAGGGTATTATTATTATTATTATTATTATTATTATTATTATTATTATTATTATTTATATTTTCTCTGATTTCTGGCGTTTACACATTTCTTTCCGGGTCCCGCCCAGGGACCTAAGGTTAGAAATGGCAGCATGACACTTTCCACTGACAAAACAAAAAAAAACAAAAACAAATTACATAGATAAAGCCCTTCGTAAAGTGTGGGCTGTACTTGTCAGAACAATTTTTTGTATCTTCTTGAGGCATGGACTTCCAGGAATCCCTTCGATTAGTCTACTGCAATCTTTTCCAACCAGTCCTAGGGCTCCAACTACAACAGGGATTGTTGCTGTTCCCATATGCCACATATTCGAGATTTCTATTTCAAGGTCCTTATTATTATTATTATTATTATTATTATTATTATTATTATTATTATACTGGCCTCGTTTTGCAACGATAGTAAACTAATTTTTTTTGCGAGAAAGTAAACAAAAGTTACTCTTTAACTAACTACTGTGATCTCTTAAATATACGAACTGAATTTTTCATATGGCTTCAATTTCTTCTGTAATATTTATTATTTTATATATCTCCTGCAAATTTTCTCAAGGAAGTAAATATTGAAAGTTAAAACGGGAATCTTCATGTTTCATATAATGGTCATTTCATTTCCAATTTCATCCCGTGCTAATTCTGGTGATTCCTCGAACCTTTGAACTGTAGTGCATACCTTCCAGAAATACTCCTCAAAATAAGGGTAAGACAGTAAGAGGTATTTTGGGGAGCTGTATGTGGGAGCTATTTCTGTCGCATACTGTACAGCGATTTACTAAGCATTCAGATGTGGCAAAAGTCCGAAAATATGAAGCACTCAATTGTGATTTTTCTAAGCATAGCTTCAATGTGGAAAAAAGGCCAAAAGTAGAAGGCACCCTGTGAGGATCGAACTCACTAGTCAGTTGTAAGTTTCTTGTCAAGACAAGCTTGTTGACCATTACACCAGGTTGAAGTTGTCAAAAATGATATTCAAAGCGTAACTTAGATGTGGCACAAGACCGAAAGTGTGGGACACCCAGCGAGGATCGAGCTCACTACTCATTCGTAATTGATTTAGCAAGACAGGCTTGGTACATATTGCACCAGGTCGAGGTACCCCAGCCACACCCTGTGCATAGCATGAACAAGACACCCAAAATAGTACATTACTAATGACAATTTCATTTTTAAACAAACTGAAGGGAAAAAAAAGAAAGAAAAAAGACCAAAGAACGGAACAAGACAAAAAAAAATATTGATCTGTGTGTGTATATGCGTACGTGTGTGCGTTTGTTTGTGTGTGTGTGTGTGCGCGAAATTGTCACATATTATGGTTAATTTCAGAATTCTATATTTAATTACAGCTGACACTAGTCATAATATCATCAGCGATAACAAGCTGTGCAAGATAAGATGTGGTGAAATGATGTTTTTGTCTTATCGCAAATCCAGCGATACGCGCGACACTGAACCAATGACAGCAGAGAAACTTTACATGGCCCTCCGAAAAACATTCTCATGAAAAGAACTTTATTAACACTTCCGCTACTGTGGATGTACGAATACCTCTTTAGGAAACTTGATATTACATGCTGCTGACTGATTAATTTGTTTTAGCGGCCTATCAACACCCCTATGGGTTATTTAATGCCGAAATCTAAATATTTTGAACACAATTTTATGGTTTCAAATTTTGAATGCAACTGAATGCCTTCAATTGCAAATAAAATGTATTGTGGTCATTTTTGTCAATTAATTATGTCATGCGTGATACACGCGTAGGCGATCATATATCTTTCGATACATGACTGACGAGGAAGATTTTTTTTCCCCCGCAGTAAGTTGCCATTTCAATCGGAGAGCCAAGTTCCAATTCCAGTCGAGTTCGTTATATTTACTTACGAGCAAATACCCTGGGGAACGTATCATCCGACGTCTTCTCCTTCCAACCGTGGGTTAATTATATGAGTTGTATCACTAAACTCTTATTATCTCAACCCCCTCCAAAAACAAATCTTACAATCTACAATATTTTCTGACTTTAACTAACCCGCAAAGGATTGGTAAGCAGTAAAAAAAAAAAACAAAAAAAAAAAAAAAAAACAGAAAAAAACGAATCAATGACTCAAATAACCCCAACCCCTGCCATGGGATGCCATTTCACTAACTCTCTGGTATTTAAGGTCCATTTGGAGACTTAACCTGAACCTACACATTCTTTAATTCTTTACTATATCAACATTTAACTGGGCACCTCGGCGTGGTGTAATGGTTAGCAAGCTTGTCTCGCTAGATCAGTTACAACTGAAAAGTGAATTCGTTCCCCATACTTTCGGCCTTGTTCCACATCTAAGCTACGCTTGGAAAGTAACTATACCAACATTTAATACTGAATCTATTTTGCTCTTCGTCCCAGCTTTTAACTGTAATTAAATTCTTTAAAATATCATTAACGTGTTTTTGTTTACAACAAAGATTTGCTTAATGTATTCACGCAACATTAATAATTAACCGTTTTTTTACTAAGGTAGAGGGAAGTTGTGGAAAGCCGTGATTGTCCACGTACAGAACGGAAAGGAGAATAAAGAGGAAACAATGATATGCCATTGGTGATTAGAAACTAAAACAAAAACCATTACCAAATGAATAAAATATTTAAAAACAGAAAAGCAAATGTGTTCATTATTCATCATAAAGTCGTCATCTAAAGATCACAAATGGCCGTTACTTTCTTAACTCTTTCATACTATTTACATTATTCGGACTATTGTCCTCATCTTTGTTGCCATATTTATCACGACGTTTCGGCCGTTGTACGCTCCAGCCTTCTTCGGGCGGTTGGAATGTCGAACTAACCAACGCCTTTATCCACTGTGCCCTGTGTCCTTAGATCCAGTGACAGGACCCAAAGAGTTGTGAGTTTAATACCTGGTTCGGCGGTGGAGAACACGGGGTGGTGAATTAGCAGGAGATAACTGATAACTGACACCCATTAGACATGGCACGTGGAACTAGAACAGTCTACCCCAGCGAGCGAAATAAAGGGTTCAGTTCGACATTCCCACCACCTGAAAAAGGCCAGAGCGTACAACGGCCGAAACGTTGTGATAAATATAGCAAAAAAGACGAGGACAATAGTTCGAATAATGTAAATAGTGTACATAATGCCTAATCTCAGAAATATAGAGAGATAACTCTTTCATATACCAACATTTAATACTTAGTACATTTTTCTCGTCATTGGTGCTTTTCAACTGTAATTAAAATCTCATTTTAAAGTGTCATTAGCGTTCTTTATTTGCTACAAAAGATTTGCTGAAGATATTCACGCAACATTACTAATTAACCGGTTTATCATCTAAGGCTTCAATGAAAACATGATGAGAATATAAGGTGATGTTTGTTGTCAATACACAATTGTTTATTGTATGCCAATCACGACGTATTCTATGTTGTACGTTTATTTTGTTTAACTTTAAACTCATTAAAACCCTATCTCCTTTTAGGTGTTTTAATTTTCTCCTATTTTAACTTCATTAAGCTACAAATAAGTAATAGCTTTGCATTCTGATAAGGTAATTAAAATTATTTAAAAACTCACTGAAAAAAAATGTTGCACAAATCTTTTAATTAGATATTTTCAATTCACTTTGAAATAAAAAATATGTTTTTTTTTCAGCTCAACGTTAACACATTTCTAATATTTTACAGAAATTTGTCAAAGAGATGGTCCAAAGAATTTAGAAAATAGCTGTTTGAGCTGCGTGAGGGTGTTTATAGGAATCTTTTTTTTTTTTTTTTAATTTAAGCTTAGAGAGAACACCGGAATTTCGAAGTAGGTTTGCTAAAATTCCCGTGTGCTTATCAAATACTTCTGTTTACTTCAGAATTATTATGGTTGAAAAAAAAAAAAAACAAAAAACAAAAAAACAATTAAAATGTAATGTCCTGTCAAGCCGTTGGAGACTTTAGCTTTTAATGGAAGTGTCACCCCTGTCGACTGCAATAAGATTGCCCAGAGGAGCTCTATAAAAGCCACTACTTTTACTCTCCGTCTTTTGGTCTGTTGCCTGACCATTTTCTTGGAACTTCATTTAACACACGTTTTCCTTATATATATATATATATATATATATATATATATATATATATATATATATATATATATATATATAATGCTTATCCTTTATTTTAATAATTTATTTTCGACACTGTTGGACTTCATTTTGAACATTTTTTAAAATTTATTTTTGGAACGCAGTACCGAATAGCCACGGATTTTTATAAGCTAAGAATTTTTAATTTACATTTTATTTTTTATTATTTCCTTTCATTCTCTTTATTATTTTTAAGGCTTGCACCACTGAATCGTAATCTCCAAAAACGAATTCTTACAAACTAAAAATATCTTCTGATTTTAAATAACCTGAAAAGTGTTGATAACCCGTAAGAAACAAAATCAATCGATGGTATTCTTAATAGTTAGTGGAACCATAGTCTTCACCTCAAGCCTCTTCTTCCTATGAAGAAATTGTCCAGTATTTATAATATTATAGATGATTAGATATTAGTTTTAACCCACATTTCCTTATTTCTAAGGACATTTTCCAAACTATTGATACATAGTTTCTGAAAGGCATCTATAGTTATTCAGATTTTAGCGTATCACTAAATGACGTATATTACGACATATGGAGATATTTGAATTTCTACACCTGCATGATTTTGACATCTTCCAATACGCATCTCATCTTGGGCGCTCTCTTTTGTTCACAACCATGTTGTAATAGGATTACGGCCACATCTTGTGGAAACGCCGGCTCCCCTTCGATCACAAAAGTTAAGCAACGTCGTGACTGGTCAGTACCTAGATGGCGGATTTCTGGGAATACCAGGTCAGGTGCTGTAAGCTTAGATGTGACGTTAGTGACATGTAAAACAGTTCAGAATTGTTAACCGGAAAGTCGAGTTTCAGCCGGGGTTCCGTTATATTCACTTACGCCAAAAATGCCCTTCTCACCAAAATATGGCCTAATTAGTAAGTTTTGTGCAATCTAAAAATTATTTTCTAGCTTTAAGAATCGAATCAGTACAGCCTTGTTTTAAGTTCTACCATCGACTTCTCCTTTAATATCGTCTGATAAAAGCATTGGCTTTAAGGGGTCCTGGGTATGACGATAAACTACATCCAGCATCAAGGCATTTGATCGGGAAAATGGAGGTTTTGAGGAGCTTGGAACCACCTCTTAATTGCCGTTATACCCAGGTCCACTCTGCTCCAGCCTGGCAGCAGCAATTAGGGTATCAGCTATGGGCAAATTATGAAAACTTAACAAAATATTACGAAAGTATAAAAATACATTTTCATAGTAAAAATATCAGGAATATATTTTAATGCAAAAAATTGCAACAATACCTGTTTATAGTAAAATTAAAAACAATACATTTTCAAAGCAACAAGACCAGAAATACATTTTATCTGTAGTGAAAGGCATAGAATTGCATTTAAAATATATTTAGTTGAAGCCATAAAATTGTTCAAGTTATTTATATTTCAGCATTGAATGATCCATAGAGGTTGATATATCGCTAAAAAAGATTTCCTCCATTGCGAGTAACGGAAACGCCGACGATTTCCTGTATAATCTAGTCATTAACACTAGACTGCTTTAAAATGCTCTAAGGAATTTTATATAAACTCTGGCACCATTATCAATTTTGAAAACAGTATTGTTTTCCTGGATTTTATTATTGGTGAACACAACGTGACAGATACAGAAACACAACTGCGGTACTTTTATAAGTGTTGCATTCCTTACTGTCAATGGCTTCAACACCTTAATTCCCAACATCAGTCCGTAGACTGTATCAACGAAGAACGGTTTATAATTTTTATGAGTATATGAGAGGGACAGTCATAATAGAATCGATTCTAGCAGGAATAGTGAGGATGGACTTCCGGTGAGAACTAAAAATGAGAATTAAAAATTGGAGACCTCAGCATCGAGCCTGGGGTGTGTCATAACAGTCGATAGAAAATTTGATATACAAATCGGAATGTGAAATGCAATAGCCAAAATTCCTTTTACAAAACTGAAGAAAGTATTAAGAAACAGGAAAACTTCTTGGAGACAAAGAAAAATGCTTCATTGTTGTGTAATGTGTCCATGAGTTCATGGCAGTTTCTTCGGAAATGGAAAGGTTTGGTTTGTTTTGTTTTACGGCATATCAACAACAATGGTTTATTTAATGCCGACAACTTTGTTCTTGGTAATATTTTGTTTTGTCAAAAATCTATTTTTTCCTCAAAAATGTATAGCTAGTAATATTATTTTAAAAAATGTAGTGTTGGTAATATTTTTTTTTTCAAAAACGTATTACTGGTAGTTTTTTTTTCTTCAAAAAATTTATAATAATTTTTTTACAAAGTATTTATGGTATTAAAACTTATTTTTTACACTTTAATAATACTTTTTACCTCAGTTTCGGGGTTAACTATTTGCCCATAACTGGCACCCTAACAGGTGCTGTCACCCCAGTTGAGGGTGAACCTGGGAACAGCAGCAATTAAGAGGTGGTTCTACGCTGCTCAAAACTTCCTGATCAGTGGCCTTGCTGTTGGACGTAGTTTATCGTCTTACCCTAGACGTGGATGTAGTTTATCGTCATAACAAGGACGTGAAATGGAAAGGATATGGGGTTCTAAAGGAGAATGCGGCAAATAACATGGACAGAGCATGTGGGAATTGTGGAGATTTTGAGATAAATTGATAAACACAACGGATACTTGTATTTCTAATGAGAAAGAGACAGTTGAAATCTATGGGCATTTGAGGAAAATAGGCTTAGGGAATTTGACACAAGACTGAGGACCGAAATTTTGAAGAAAATGGGAACCAAAACGATGCATGCGTTTAGCATCAGATATACAGCTTCAATTTCTAGGACGCGTAATAAAAAATGTCGATTTGAGAATTTAAAACTCACATGGCATAAAAAAAGCAAGGCGGACAGTGAAAAAGTCATTTAACTAATGAGTGTCCGTCAATATGACAGAAGTAGGAATAGGAGAGACAGTAACGGAACAAATTGATTACAGATATAAAGATAAGGTATTTTTTTTTTTAAGCGTTTCACCCCAAGCAAGGCGGGAAGCCACTAGGACGCAAGGAGTTACAGAAAATTTAGAGCAAGATCAGATAGGAGTGATAGAAGAAAGGATGAGAAGGGTAGTGGATAGATCAAGGCCACTGGAGATGTCGATTGATATTACATTTGAATAGCTGGAGATTATAGCTCCCAGGGAAACTGGAATAGGGAAGGGGAGTTCCACAGGCGAGAGGTGCGAGACATGAAGCTATTGAGTAGAAGAGACGGCTACATTTAGGAGTTTCGACAGTGAAGGGGTGAGAGCGGGATGCCACCCTCGTAGGGCGCTTGAACTCATGAAGTCTGGGAACCAGCGAATGCAGCTCCTCGGAGCAAATGCCATGAAAGTATTTGTAAAACAGACAGAGAGAGGCGACGGCGCGTCTGTGAGAGAGTGACTGTAGACGAGATGCCAGAATAGAGCCAATTATATTGCATATCCGCCTCTGGAGAAGAACCCCGAGGCAAACAGAAGGGGCTCCAGACCATATATGGCAGCAATACTCCATGCAAGAGCGAATTGTTGATTTGTAGATCTGGAGGATCGATTCCGGCGAGAAAAATTTCCTGGCGCGGCACAGAGAGCCAACTTTCCTTGCGGTGGACGAAGCAATTGACTCAATGTAATTGTTCCATCTCAGGTCAGCCGTCAACGTGAGACCGAGCAGCCGCAGAGAGTTGCTCTCGAGAAGTTAAGCGTCAGACATTCTAATGGAGGGCAGAGAAGGATCACTGTATTCTTAAAGAGACAAGGTGCATAAAACTATTTTATACTGTGGAAAATGTGGAATGATTGAGATAATTCTAGTAATTTCATCCTCACCTTTTCTGCTCGTTTAATTTTTGTTGTCTCACTTCTCTTCAGCTATGAAGAAATTGTCGAGCATTAACTGTCGCGTAAAAGAACTGTTATTACATTACATTTCATCAATTGTCATTGTTTCCAAGGAAATCTTCGAATTAAATATTTCCTTTACACTTTGGAAGGTATTTTTCGCTATTCAAATCAGTCCCGGATTTCTGTTAAATTATCAAGCGGGAAATATCATGAAAAGGATAAAGGAATTTCTTGATGTGTGCGAAACTAACAACTCAACGTCCGGCATCCATTTTCTGCTCTTTTATTTATAAGCAAGTATAATTTCGTCTCCGATGCATTGTTCGCTCATAAAGAAGGATTATAGCCTCGTAGGAATCTGGGATTCAAAAGGTTAATGAATCTGCCTTGAACAGGGTCGGCTCCCTTGTGAAAAAAAGTCGGCGTGGCGTGGGGGACTGGTGATTGAGGGAACTTCGCGTTCAATTGAGGTGGAATTGAGGAGGATTCAGGATTACGAAAAAAGGAATTTCATTAAGTACCGACTGATTAGCTGGTTAATTACTTTTCAAAATGATGTAATCATATTAAGATGAATGATGATAATGTAATTGCATTTCTCAATCAGTATCATTTCTAGATATTATTAATATCATGAAAATGCACTATAATTAAATAATAAAATTCATTGCTAGCGTTATAATTCTCATTTTCATTAAAATCTCGCAATATTTGCATTATAATTACATTTTTACAATATTTACATTGTTCGGACTGTTGTCTTCATCTTTGTCACATTTACAACATTTTGGCCGTTGTGCTCTCCTGTCTTCTTCGGGTGATATTTATTTGAAATTAAAATAGAACACGGAATATTTTAAAGATTTTAAACTTCGATCTTGTGTCACATTCATTTGTGAGGTGGGGGAGCTGAAAATACTTTCAGCCTTTCAGCTGAGATCGAAGTGTAGTTTCTCTGACTAGCTTAATCTAATTCTTTCTCTCTCTCCCACCCACTACTTCTATCTGTCCTTCTTTCATTTTCTGATTGAAACCAAGTAATATATTTCCTCTTTTCCCGCGTTCAGAACGCGGAAGAGTCAATAGTTTATAAGGTATTTACAGGATTTAACGGTCGTACTAACTAACGAAGGGAAGAACAAGCGCAATTTTAATAGGATTATTATTATTAAACAAAATAATTGAAGTAACTCTTCTAATATTGCAACACTTAAAGAGTGCGAATTAAGATATACTATCGAAATATTAAGCACTTAAATAATGATTAATATTTCGATATCGTGCTCATATCTAAGTATTATTTTAATGGCCTCGAATAATAACGCAGTCTTCATTATCAGCATTAGTGTTAACCATGTTCACCATAGTCTATGAACATAGAATAAAGCGTAGTACGTAATCTGTTCAATAAAACAACTTTAAAGATTAATACTCACGAGTCAGACACTCTACTGAATTCGTCTATATCGCCAATACCACAAGCAGCTGTTCTGTAATTCTTCAGTCTTCGGTATCAAAGGCTGGCTGCCAGTGAATATTCGGAAAAAAAAACATGGCCGCATTTATACACGTCGCATTGAATATTTTGAGCCTTCTGATTGGTTAAGCCTTCTATTGGTGAACTATAAAATGACTCAGCTCATTTTGGCTGGCTCACTAGTACACTAGTATACCCAAACTTCCAACAATTAGTACCATCAATTATAATCATCGTTTACTGACAGTTTTTCCTCAGTGCAATTATATTCAAGATATGAAGTTGTGTGATGTGTTGAAAATTTCTGGCTCTAATCCAATTGCTCAAATCAGCTAAAATGACTAAACATCATTTTTTTTAAGGCAATTCACCCTAAGTATGGCCTGAGTGCCACTAGCACACAAGGGGTTAGAGAGGATTGAGAATAAGTGTAAAG